CAAACATGGACTGGGTATCTACCCAGGTAAGTCTATTTCCTCTTGTTCAAAGCATTGATTTTCGAGACTGAGCATAGAATAATTTGGGAAACTGATGCCAAATTGTGGGTAGGAGAAAGGTTTGAATCTTATATTTTCCCAATATGGCAGTCCTTCAATTCATGCAATCTGGTAAGCTGGGGGAGTAAAATATTTTTTTTAAGTAAATGAATAAATGCAAATAATAGCAAAATACAGACCTAGCTTCTGTGGAACCAAATAATGCTAGTGAGAGATAAAACAGATCCAGATCTCCAGTTAGTTATTTTGCTCAGATGTTCCATTGGAATAAAAATTAGTATGGTTTCAGAATGGAAATATTGTATAAGTTTGTGAAACAAGGAAAAAATATTATTTCTTTGTTTTTCACAGCTCCACGCAACATGCAATGTGGATCAGTCATTTTTCAATGACTGGTTCACTGGTCATCTGAATTTCCAGATTGAACACCAGTAAGTAAAATCCTTAAGGTGACATTACTTTATAATTAATTATAAATGTCTCTGGCAAAGATAAAACTCCTTGCAGTGTGTTTAACCTTCATTTGAGATTATTAAAAAAACAAGACAGATTTTTATTTAAATGTTCAAGAACTATTTGCAAGAAGCTTAATTAAGCAAATATGTAAGAAAGTTTTTAAGTGGACAAAAAACACAGTCTTTTAAAAAAAAATTCTTATTTTTATTTTTGATGAAAGTGCTTTAATACATTCTCCACTAAGTCAGTTAAGGAGAATAGCTTGGCACATGAATGTTTGCTATCTTTAAAGAATGCATAGAGTTGGGGGATTCTACAGAACAAAATATAAGGTAAAGACACAGACTAGGAGGTTAAGTTGCCAATATGATGTTTGTTGTGGTTGAAATGAAAAAGGCTGAAAGAAGGAAATAAAGGAAGGAAAAATAAAGGGGGAAAAGACAAAGTGGTTTGTCTCTTTATTTTATCTGCTTGGGACATTTTCTGAAAAAATGACTACTAGAAAAATGGCAACAAAGGGCAGAAGGGGTGTGCTAGGACAGGGCTTTTCAACCAGTGGTATGGGTACCACCTGTGGTACATTGACATCTGGCAGGTGGTACGCGACCATCCTAGAAAAGTGGTAGCAGGGGAGAGGAATGAGCTGAACCGGGGGCAGCACTGCACAAGCCTGAACGATGGCTGGAGCTGCAGGGCTGTCAGGGCTCAGTGGAAACACCAGGATCAGCGCCAGGCTCCACCTGGAGCTTGTCACTGATCCTGGTACTTCTGCTGAGCCCTGAAGAAGCACCAATCAGCTGGAAAGCAGCACTGATCCTGATGCTTCTGCTGAGCCCAGAAGAAGCGCCGATCAGCTGGAATGTTGCAGCATCTCCAGGGTCTTGTGATTTACATTCAGATGCTTGGCAACTGATTCATATTTATTTATGACGGTCACGGTGTCCCAGGGTCATGTGAAGTGACCAAAACCTGCTGCAACCACCCAGCAGATGGGGGAATAAAAACCAAACACCCCCCCCACCCCACTCCTGCTGCCAATCCTCAACAGAAATGCTCACAACAATGAAAACCTTGGACAGGAGGAAGAGCGCTGCCGGGCGGGCAGGCAGGCGTCTTACTAGGCTGTGGCTTGGGGGCCACTTTTTTCAGTGTCATTGTAACTTCTAAGAGTCACTATGCGAACTGTTGTAAGTCAAGGACTACCTGTACTTTATCACTTTTTTCCTCTTTTTTTGGGTCAAGTTTTTGACACCTTGCTAGGCGATTGGTGGTATTCGGATATTGCCATATCCTAAAAGTGGTACAATGGGTGAAAAGGTTGAAAAGCCCTGCGCTAGAACAGCCAGCAACTACAGAAAATATACTTCAGAATTTTTTTCAACAATCAAAGAATACATTTTATCAGATGGGAAATAAAATGGATGCTTTTGAAAAAAAATGATGAAATATTTCTAAAGTTAGGAGATGAAAGCTGGTGTTAAAAATATATGGAGATATAAAACAAATTAATAACTGAGCGGAAATTTTAGACAATCAAAAGTTCAACCCAAAAAAAATTGAATAATTTGTCTAATGGAATTGAGAGAGAAAGAATTCTGTTTGAGATTTTTAGCTGTCCGGACATTCCAGTGAAAATATTACAGAGTAACCTATTAAAGTTTTGACATTTTTTATGGATCTGGAAGAGGACGATAGAGAGGTAGAAATAAATAAAATTTATAGAATAAATTACAGATGTGGTATATGGTGGAATGCCCCTAGAGAGGTTTTAGTGCATTTTGTCAGATATTTGACAACTGCAATGAGATTATTATGTGCCCCAAAATGGAAAGGCTAGTCACTACCCAGTGTGGAGGAATGACTGGTGAAGATGATGAAACCTGTGGAAATAGGCTAAATTAACTTCATTGATTAGGGGGGGGAAAAAACCCACAGCATCTACATTTATGGCTGACTGGAAACCTTATAGATCTTTTGCATAAAATGGGAGAAATTCATTAAGATTTGTGGTTTTGATGATTAGAAAAAAAATTGGATAATAAAAAAAATGACTTCTTTGTAGTATTGTGAAATTGTACCTATATTTGCTGCAAAAGAAATTGGGAGCTCTTCTTTCTTTTTTCTTTTTTCTTTATTAGATTGTGTTTAGTTCTTATGTTGTCTTTACATCTTTTAATCAACTTTATTTTTTAAAAAAACAAACTTACTTTTTTATTTTTCTACAGCCTTTTTCCCACAATGCCTCGCCACAACTATAGTAAAGTGGCTCCTCTTGTGAAATCCCTCTGTGCCAAATATGGTGTTTCCTATCAGAGCAAGCCCCTCCTTACAGCCTTTGGAGACATTCCGCGGTAAATATGGCAATAATTTTATGACCAAAAAAAGAGTAATTGGCTCGGTTAAACAGTTAATCAGCTGAAATAGCTAAAGCAGACATGTCAAACACAAGGCCCGGGGGCCGGATGTGGCCTGCGAAATGGTTTCATGTGACCCGCAAAGCCATCCTGGAAACAGTGAGGGAACGGACCCTGCTGCCTTGGCCCAGGCCAGCCGGGAGCCAATGTACAATTTTGTGGTGGCCATCTTGGCACTTGCCCCGGTGGACCATGCCTTGGCACTTGTCCCAGTCCCACCCCCTTCTGCCAGAGACCCTTAGATCTGTCCCACTCCTGCCCAGGCCCCCACAGGCACCCTTGACGCGAATGATGTAGAACTAGCCACGCCCACCCAGTAGGCCACACCCATTCCATCCACGCCCACCTGGTAGGCTGCACCCACTCTGGCCACACCCACCCAACCCCCCAAGGGCAACCGCAATGCTGATGCGGCCCTCAGTGAAATTGAGTTTGACACCCCTGAGCTAAAGGGACAACTGATTAAAGCTAAATTGATGTCTCCAGGACATGGTCTATATCAGGGGTAGTCAACCTTGGCTCTTTTATGACTCGTGGACTTCAACTCCCAGAGGAATTCTGGGAGTTGAAGTCCATGAATCATAAAAGAGCCAAGGTTGACTACCCCTGGTCTATATAGTGGGGGCAGATCAAGGACACCTAGCCCATGTTTCATTGTGAGGTGCATAATAAAGGCAACTCCTTGAAATCTGGAGTTTTGCTAGGCAGTAGATACCTGATAATAAGAACTGCAATAGCACCATAAATCAATTAGATAGTAATGGCTATATGATCTTGAAGTCTTATTGTAACAAATCATCTTTAGAGCGTGATTTAAAACAGATGACTTACCAGAACAAGAAATTCCAGAATCTGAGATCTGGTTCTTTGCATCCTCCAGCTATGTTTCTGATGGGAATGAAAAACAACATATATTCTCACATTACCTTAGTGGTTAGGTAAGATCAGTGCAAAACTAGAATTGTCCTTGGGAAATGATGGTCAGAATGCCTGTTCCTTCACATTTGGGAAGCAATCATTGTGCCACAAGTGGAAATTTTCCCTCACCCAATTGCAGTGGGAAAAGACTCTTCATGTATACAGATAATGTGCACAGAGGTGGCGATCAAAGGAATGTAAGGGGGTAACAAAGATGTTGAAATATTGGGAAGGCAGATATTGTGATACATCTCTGTCTCCCCTCTCTGTATAATGAAAGAACTGTACACTGTCTTACAGATCTCTTAAGGTCTCTGGAGATGCCTGGCTTGAAGCATATCTGCATGGATAAACATTTTGAGAATGAACTCCATCCCAATGAAGATGCATCACGCACTAGAGGGCAGCTGGTGGACTAAGGAAGAATGTGGGGTCTAGTGAGTGAATAGGCTAAGCGATAGCTTTGCTGGGATGGAATAATTGTGATACTTTACTTCATCCTCTGTACAGTGTTTCCTTGAATCTGTATTCTGTTTGTACTATGGCATTTGGTGGATATGTGAAAGGTGAATTAGTACCCTTGTATTTCACTTGCTTCTATGAGATTGAAACTTGGCTTTTTTCTTGTTTGGGGGAAGGGGGAAGGTTATCAGACGGGAGAGGTGAAGAGTTTAGAATAGAAGGATGAAATAATGAGAAGAAGATAAAAATACAGTTGGTGAATAAGATGTTACATGTTACTTGAAGGACAGCTTGAAGTTTTAGGATAGCTTGCAAGGTCCAGTGTCTCTTAAAAGGAAAGAGCAAAATTCTCAGAGCAGTTAAAACTTCACAGTTGGGTATTTGAAGTTTTGAGTCTTCAAAAATGTTGCAAAAAAAAAAAAAGAATATTAGTTTGATTGGTTAGATTTCTAATGTTCTTAAGAAGGAGAAAAAGCAAGTGATCCAGATGATGAGTTTGGGGAGGATTGTTTTACACCCAAATGGATCCTTCCATATTTAATTCAGAAAAACATGTGACTATCGGCAAGACCAAATAGCTTCCATTCTGTCAAAGTCCCATGTCATATCTTAAACCAGAAACTGTGACCCACCTCCATGGCAATTTTTGAGCTTCATCAGAAATAGCACAGTTGATA